TTCCTTCTATACAAAATTCACAAGTTGGTATAGATTCCACCTCTAACTCATTTAAAAGACCATCCTTTGCCAATCTTTGAATCCTATTTAGATTAATATGACCCAATCTAAGATGCCATAAGAGAGTTTCATTAATACTAGACGACCTCTTTCTTTTCTTAATAGTAGTAGTGTCATGTATAGAGACAATCAAAGGACTTAAGATATAAAGATTATTAACCATATGACCCGAACATATTACAAAATTATTCAACTTAATAGCCACCGTAGAATGGGTAAAAAGTACCAAATAACCAACATGATATAAAAGTGCAACGAAAACCAAGTTCAGTGTAAGTTCGGGAACATAATAACAGTCATCTAATATCAAATGCCTACGATTCTCAAAACATAAAGTAAAAGTACGAACAGCTTTGGCAGACACCACTGCTCCTATGCCAACACTAAGAGGGTACTCCCCTTCACTGAGATACTTGGTTTCCTGGAACCCCTGCAAATAATTGCAAACATGATTAGTGGCTACAAAATCTACAATCCAGGTATTAGTAGAATCAACCACTAAGCATGACTCAATGAATAGGGCATTATTGCCTTTACCTTGCTTCCCCTTAGCTAGGTAATCTGGGCAGTTCCTCTTCCAGTGACCATTTTGTCCACAAATAAAACACTTTTCCTTTGGTTTTCCATCGACAGTAGTTTTCTTTCCCTTTGATTTGCTATCTGGCTTTTTATTTGGTATTTTCCTCTTCTTTCCTCCTTTACCACCAGAAGGCTTAGGACGAGAAGGTTCAGCTGTAACAGTCAAAGCACTTCCACTCCGAGCTTTTAGAATAGATTCAACATTTTGTAGCTCTTTCATTAGTTTCGTCAGAGACATGTCCATCTTGTATAGATTATAATCAACTATAAATTGTGAGAACATCTCAGAAAGAATCTCAAGGACCATATCAATCTGCGTCTCGGAATCAATGTCAACTCCAAAAACCTCTACAGCATTGAAGTGACCAATCATGGATAACATATGGTCCCTTACAGATGCACCCGGTTTCATGCGTGTGTTCATAATTGCCTTAATGGAGGCTTGCCTAGCTTGTCGGCTTTGATGTCCAAATATCTCTTGAAAGTTTTCCATTATGTCAAAAGCAGTTTGCATATTCTGATATTTCTATTGTAATACATTTGACATGGATGCCAAAATGTAACAACGGGTCATCTCATCAGAATGATGCAACTTTTTATATGCAACCTTTTGAGATTTCGTGGAGTCATCTTTAGGGGCTTCGGGACAAACTTCATTCAGCACAAATTTGTGTTTTTCAGCGGTAAGAACAATATTAAGATTCATTTTCCAGTCAACGTAGTTTTCTCCCACAAGTTAATTTTTGTTAAGTATTACTGATAATGGATTAAGCGACATTTTCTGTAAAATTAACGATTCGCGTATTAATAAAATGAGCAATAATCTTTGTATGATGCATGTATATGAATATGCAAATATAGACCCAGAACTATATTTGTAATCAAAAAACCTTAAACCCTTACAACTTTTAACACGACCTCTATAGGAGGTCAATGTAGTTGTTGGCAAGGTTGGGACCCTCCCACTCATTTTATTGAGCTAGGAATCTCATGCCACAAGAAAATGAGGATTGATTATTATTTGGCCTATGAATAATTTTGTTGAAATTTTCTATAGGAAGTCCCCCAAAATATTCACATATAAGTGTAATAGCATCCGTCAATAATTTTAAAATATCCGAAATATATAAGATGTCGTTTATAGGATGATCATCCCATTATTTCATTCTTAAAGAAATTCTATTACTAGATCCAATTTCAGTTGATCTAAAATAACGTAGTTTTTCTATAGGGAGACCGATATAATTCGATACTAAATATACGTATTTTAATAACAAATTGGATGACGGAGGAGGCCGTAGGTTTATACATGCCTATAAACCATCTCCCACTTATTATTTTGTACCGTTGGATTTTCACTTAATTAGTTTGCCAAATATAATCAATTATAATGACGCTAATTATAAAATATTTTTCAACCACCTCTAATTAATTAGGAGTGATAAAAAAATATTTAAATGTAAATGCATATGATTTTAGTGCACCGGGTAGTGTTTCATTTAATCTACATGACATGCGATAATAATTAAACATTCATCGATCCATAAAGCGGTAAAAGATAATTAAATGAATAATAATCACTAATGGCTCATCCTAAAAATTTAAATTACAACATGGATAAAAAGAATTACATTGGACCACATCCCGGCTCAATTCTCCAATCTTCTTTGTAGTCCACATCATGAAACATAAAAATAGGGTTAATTTAATTTTTAGGCCCAAAACTTAAAACCAACAAAGTCATTATCCAACAACATTGGCCCAAGTATTAAAGAGATGCCCAAAAAATTCAAATTACCCTAATTTTCAAAACACGTACAACACCAAAGTACACACAACTTCGACGACGTCGCAATCTCCGACGACCCCAAAAAAAGAGGGGCCACCGACACCGCTACCGGCAAGCGGCCCCAGCAGTAGCTGCTGCACAAAGGCAGCAGTTTCGGCTGCTATAGCTGATGCTTTCGTGCAACAGCAACAGCAGCAACCATAGCTCCGGTCACGGCGGCTACCATCGCCGCCGCCTCTAAGTGTTTCTTGAGATTCTTGCATTTTTGTTCTTCCTTCCTCTCTATTGAAATTACAGCAACAAGTTTACATTTTTTCCTCAAAGTACAAAAATGAAAATGAAGAAAAAATACAAAAAACTTAATGCCTTATGACTTATAATAATTCTAGAGAATAACTATAATAAATGAAATACAATAGGAAGTAAAAAGAAATTCTAGGGCCAAAAGTGATTATGAATACATCAACTATAACTTTAAACATATTTAAAGCATAAACATGTCAAAATCAAATAACCTACCACAACTAAACTAAAATACGATTTGTTGGTTAATGAATTTTAATCATCACAATAGGAAATTAATTTTCCTTTAAAGATTAAAATCATGTAAATAAGGATTTAATTGACCTTGAGATCATTGGATTATAAAATCCTCACATATAGAAAGAGGAAATGATAACATTTTTGAAGGAGCTATTAATGGTCTTACCAATTGCTTCCTCCCTTAGATCTTCTCCCTTGTTCTCTACTAGGTGTAATTCCTTTTTGGGGAATGTGAAAAGTGGCTAACCCTAATTCATAAATAAAATATGCCAATAAAGTGCAAATTTATAATGACCTATTATGGTTTGAAAATTGTACAAATTTTCTTAGACTTTATTGTAGTATGTTAATTAAGTCACACACGTTTTATTGGAGCCAAGAGAGGGACCTAATTGGACTCACATGACCCAAACTCTAATAGATGTTTTCAATTGGGTCAACTCTTGACCAATTGAGATACATCTATTAATCCCGACTTATTCTACCAAAAAATCGAGATTGCACGCTCGAGTGGAGTGATAGTTATAGAAGCAAATTATGATCCAATAACAATATCCTCTGGTTATCGTTCCACAAGTCAACCCCCATTTGACCGTCAATATGTTGAAACTGGCAAAATGACCGTTTTGCCCTTCAACATGTATTACCCTCTAAGTCCCATTTTCATACAGCAAATTCGTTGTGATCAAATCACAATGTAAAGTCCAACGATCTCATCGTCAACCTACTGAGCTCATATTCAATTTGCCTAGGAAAATACTTTCAAGTGACGATCGTCTCATTTCAATGATTAATAGATTTCAATATTGTAAGTATATGATCTCTAATTATTTCGGCCCGATTCCCAAAGCACCGAAATCAATCTTCTATTTAAGACTTCACTCATTGATACCTCAAAGAACTTGAACTAGCAATCAAAGGTACATTACTCACTCAGGATTTTAGGTGACATGTTTGATAATCAAGTAGAATCTCATTTCAAACGGTCACAAATGAGTCATCTACGCGGTCCTATTCAATGTGCATCGAAACACATTATTGTTCCTATTTCAAGATCAAGACAAATCTTAATAAGAACAATACAATTTTATCAACATAAAGCGTCCAACTTTATGAACCTATTGTGAACGACATAATTTTGATCACATTACATATTGTGTCTTACTATACCCGATCCATCGAGTATACAATTTGTGACATCCTATATGATCATGGAACTTTAGACAATCACTTCAAATTATAACACGCAAATAAACGAACGTAAATTCATAATGTGATTTTACAGAACACTACTCGAAGAATAGGCATCAAACTAACAGACATCATGGAGAAACTCAACGTCACTTTTCTTGAACAATTTGGAGTGGGCAATTTGACCATTTATTCAAATATATGGCCAGATCTTTTACACATAATGAAATGTCAACCAATATGTCAAAAATGAATGTCAAAGTAACTTTATTATTTTTATAATTTATTAAATCCATCAAATGCTTCAGTCAAACTGTTTGTACAAATAATATGTATCTTTAGAGTAATGCATAGAAGTACATACTTAGCCCCTATTTTGCCCTATATTTTTATAAATTTTTTTTTTTTCAATTTCATTTTCAATGAATTCACATCTTTTATCAATTTTTCATCCCATTTGAACCCTTTCTTCATAATAGATTTTTTTTTTAAAATGGTAATTTTTTGAAAAATGTGTGATTAAAAGATATGAAAAAAATTTAAATTATGTTCAAAATTATTTTATTAAAAGAATATATAATTAAAAATGATTTGTGAAAATGAATTTTAAGAATTTGAGACTCAGATCTAGCTTCTTTTGAATAGGATAATCATCTCAACATCTTCATCGTTTAAAAATTATTCGTTTAAATTATTGAACTCAATTCCGAAAATTAGTCTTGAATTTAGTACAAAATTCTTATCATTTCGTGATTACATGACTAGATAATTTTACCATTTCATTAATATTTGTTATGTACATGAAGTTAAACTTTATTGAAATTTAACTCTTACGAGATTAAAAACTAAATACAACAACAAATAAAAAAAGCTCACACAACTGGACAAATTCACACCGTCACTAGCCATACAAGCATATGCATGCATGATCAAACAGCGTTTTGAATCAGATGATTTTTCAGAATTTGAGAAGGAAATAGAAAATAAAAAATAAAGGTAGATATAAGTAAATAATGGTTTGAAAAGAATCAAGGAGTCTAAACATTGGAGTCCTTGGATTTATTCTCTTCCGAAGATGGTCGATTTTCCGAGTCGGATAGCCGAACCTCTTCGATCATTCTAATGACTTCGTCAATGTTTGGTCGCATGTCCGGTACCTTTGCGACACACGCCATGGCGATTTGCAGCATCTGCACCATCTCTTCTTCAATGTTTTGGAACCTCATTAACTCAACATCGAAAACTTCGGACGTCCATTCTTCCCTGACAACTGACTGAACCCACCTCGGGAGATCTACAATATCATCTCGTCCCGGCGATTGAATCGGTTGTTTTCCTGTAAGCATTTCAAGTAGCACGACTCCAAAGCTATACACATCTGATTTGTGAGTGTGTTTCCGAGTTTCGATTACCTCAGGAGCACGGTATCCTGCCTGTCGAGATGGAGTGGCAGGAGAGTTCATGAGAGGGGCCAACCCGAGATCGGATACACAACCATCTAAATCTTGATTCAAGAGGACATTGGAAGACTTGATGTTTCCATGAGTAAATTTAGCACCACCCACAGAATGGATATGAGCAATGCCCCTTGCTGCTCCTAGGGATATTTTGACTCTTGTACCCCAATCTAGAGGTGTTCTTCCGGCGGTCTTGTTTCCTGTTAAATCGAAATTGAGCAAATATAAGTGGAAAAAGTTCATTCTGCCCACAGATTAGAGCAAGACGCCAAAACACGACCTACGAAAATGGATGATAGATAAGTTTTCTTGCTTTCGAGTTCCGAATGGGTTCTTTCGAAAGGCCATATGTTGAATTCTATTGAACTAACACATTTTAAAATGACAGATTCTTGTCCAGCAGAAGTCTTAAGATGCTCTAATAGATATTACACTGCAGAGAAATTATTTCTAAAATACAATTGCCTTGTGAATTAATATTCTCACAGGAGTAAGACGGTAGATCTTTATTTTTAGTTTTTTCACTGAACCACCAAAGTTATGCTGCATTGAAGATAATCTACAGTTCTGCCATTGCCTTCCTGTGATTCCTTTACATGTCATCCACTTGGAATTTTTCCTGTTTCTCTATTCGTTTGTGAAAATTGTTGACTGGGCTTTATTTTGTTCGACTGTTTAATTTCGAAGAAATCACTAATGAAAACTCTCATCTTCAAGAGTAACAAACATGCTAAATGAAACGCAAGAAAGGCAGAAGAAAGGGAAGGAACTAGAGGGAGGAAATTTCATACCGTGCAACACAGTTGCCAAGCTGCCATTTGAAAAATAATCATAGACTAAGAGCTTCTCGTCCTTAGAGTAGTAATAAGCTCGTAAATGTACAACATTGGGATGCTGTCCCACTCTCCCGATTATTTCCATCTGCTGTTCGAAGTCCTTCTTCCCGACAATTACTTCTTTCAATCTTTTCACGACCACTGCTGTCGACTCCTCTAAGACTGCTTTGTATGCTGTCCCAAAACTACCCTTTCCAAGAACTTCAGCAGAGGCCCGTAACAAGTCCTCAAGATCGAAGTTGTATGAACAGCCTTCAAAGAAAACCAACTTGTTCTTCTTGGGTTCTTGCACCCCGCTGTCAAACTCCTCGCTTGGTTTCTCTTGACTCCCACCACCAGAAGGCTTAACTTTTGGCACTGGACTGCCATCTCTTCGCTTTCTCGCAAAGTAGCACAGGAATAAAACTAGTGCTATAAGAAATAGCACTACAGCCCCTCCGACTGCAATGGCAATAATAGCTCCCAAAGCGAGTTTTTTCTTAGAATTTCGCCTCGAAGGGACGTTTGAGGAAGGTGGAGAAGTACTCGGAGAAGGAGCAGGCGGAGGAGAAGGTGAACAAGAATCTAGTGGTGGCCCGCATAAGGAATTTCCAATGAACGAAGAAGTTGGGAACTTCTGTAGAGATGAAGGAATAGAGCCATTAAGATGGTTGTTGCTTAGGTTCAAACGTTTGAGCTGCGGAGCTAGATTGGGGATTGATCCAGAAAGAGAATTGTTCTGAAGTCTCAAAGCAGTAAGTTGAGTCAAATTCTGAATTGTTGGGGGAATTTTTCCCCGAAATGAATTGAATGACAGGTCCAAGATAGTAAGCTGAGGGGAAAAGATAGTTGGAATATCACCGGTGAAATTATTACGTTGAACAAAGAGGTAACGGAGAGAAGGAAGTGAAAGAATATCAGGAGGCAAATTACCACTAAGGAGATTGGAGCGAAGACTGAGAGTCCTCAGAGCATCCAACTTTCCAAGGGTATTAGCTGGAATTGGACCCTTAAGTCCAATGCCAGGAAGCCGCAGATAAATCACATTGTTAGCATCCGGAGTACAAGTGACTCCGACCCAAGAATTGCAGACTGGCATAGCAGGATTCCAGTCAAGCCTTCTACCATGTGGCACGGCGGCGGCAAATGCTAGAAGGGCTTGTTTATCCGAGTTCAAGTCACCAAGAGCCAGAGGAAAGAGACTCATGGCGATGATGAAGAAAAGAAGAAATATATTGATAGAGCAGAGTTTCATGAGGTAATCCAGAAGGATACGAACGTAAAATTGCTGCAGGTACCGCAGTTCTTCTGATGGGATTACAGAGACAATAATACATGGTTAGATTATCCAAACACAAAATAAGGCACCAAAAGTTGATAATAAAACCAAGATAAGACATGGAGTAATAATTTGAATATTAAATAACAGTGAGCACTCGCAAAAGGCACAAAATAGAAGGAAAAAAATTCTGCAGGTATTAAGATCAAGTTACAAACAAAAATAATAATAGTGATAATTGTTTGTAGAACTGAAAATCTAATCAAAATCGGAAGCAAAATGTTATGAAATACAAAGATGATAATGCGGAAATGGGTGTCAGTACAAGAGAAACCATTAATCCCAAAAAATAAAAAAAATAAAAATAAATCAAATGATAATGCTATTTTGAACTGAACAGCAGATTTCAGCTTTTAGTTTCAAATGGGAAACATCTATATGACCATAACTCTCTTTCAATTTATACATCAAAAATTTCAGAGGAAAAAAAGAGAGAGACGATATCAGATTATTACCAACAACATAATCATATTTCTCCTTCAAAATGGCACTCGGATATTTTGCTTCCAATCAAAATGTATGCATTTTCCACGGCGGCCAATAATTCATTCTTAGGAATTCAAAATGATTCTTAATTGAAAAGTGCAACTAGGCAATTAACAATAGCCCACTAGAGCTGGAAAAAGTATTTTTAAAGATCAACCACAAAGAATTTGAAAATTGAAATAATGAGTAAATCTGAGCACATGACAGCCTTTATTTGGAAACAGCTGACAAGTAAACAGAGTTTGAATAAATAATAAATAAAATACAAAATATGCATCTTGCTAAAGGAAAGTGCCAAGGCATGGAACCTTTCTATACAATCTTCAAGAACAGTAAAGTAATCAAAAATGCTTATTTTACAAGGAAGTGGATTAAAAGTTGCAGCCAGCATCGCATACAGCTCAGTCTTAATAATTATACATATTTTAGCTGCAGAGTTTGTAATTAATTAGCCCAAAATCTTCTTTCCTTAACATAAAAAATTCAATTCTTAAAAAAAAAAAAGGTTAAACCCTAATTCAATTCTTAATTTGACGCCAGATGTTAAATGAGTAGGAATTTTAAAAATAAAAATATCTGAGTCCAAGAAAACATTTTCATGGGAATGGTAAAGTAAAAAATGGGATTTTGGGTAGTTGAGAAGCTCTTATAGCTTCACCCAATTCACATATTTCAGTGTAACTAAGAACCTAAACTTGCTTCATTAGCATTCATCACGATGCAAAATTTCCATCAGTACAGTCTTGTTCAACAAAAAAAAAATATGTGCACAGATTTTTGTGTAAAAGAAAACAAAATTCAACAGCCTCTGCAAAATGTACAAACATACCAACAATCAGATCTGCTATTAAACATTTTGTACTTCAATCTGAGTTAATTCTTAAATAAATAAATAAAAATATATTAGAAGGGTAAAACTGAGAGAAACCCAAAATCACCTCGAAACATTCTGAGAATCCCAGAATTTTTTTCCTCTTTTTCGATATTTTCTGAGTTTTATATGGATTTTGTCAAGAATGCTGAACTCGAGAGGCGAAACCTGAGTTTGCTGTAATGTTGAAACTGCAGTAACTGGAAGCATTGGAGCGTGATACAGGACTCGAACTGTGCTGCAGCAGCATTAAAAACACCATGCTTTTGTCAAGGATTTACACAATTGGGAATTCAATTAACAGATCCAGGAGAAAAATGCAGACAGTATTTTGTAAGTTAATTTTGAGTTTTGTTTAGTGATTATGATTATGAGCTGGAAAAGAATGGAGAGAGAAAGTCAGATGCGTCGGTTCACTCAACCACTGACTGGCAGTGAAAGAGTATAGAGATAGAGATAATCCTGTTCATTTCTTTATGTGCTTTTTTTTCTTTCTTTATAGACATATGCTAGAGAGAGAGAGAGAGAGAGAGAGAGAGAGAGTAATGTTGACGATGACCGTTTGGACCGCATTGCAGTCTGAATTCGTAAATTGACTTTTTCAGTATTATTTTACATTTTCTTAATCTCAATATTTTGACTCCATTTTAGAAGAATTTATAAATGATATACCCCGTTTATTTTTCATTATTTATCTATTAAAATAAAAAAATATAACTATTATTCATCACATCAAGCAATAATATTTGATTTTTTATTTCTTATGTGGGATCTGTAACGATTATATTTTTTATTTTCATTTTTACATTAATGTGTATCAAACGGGGCCTTAATTTATAAATAAATAAAAAGAAGTGATGCATAAGTGAAAGAATTTATTATAATGTATAATTAAAACTAAAGCTTGATCAAAAGCAAAACTCAACTAATGGAATCAAGATTGAACTGTGGTAACAAAAAAATAAATAAATAAATAGAACTAGGCAATTTTAAGGAGTTGTTTGACAAAGTTTTTTATAAAAATTTTAGTAAATTTTAACACATGTTGATGAAATTGTGATTGAAAAGATGAGATTTACGAGTTCTAGGAATTATGTAATTAAAATTAATCATTGACTTTGGCTAGTATTTTAATAGCTTTTTACGTTTTTTCAAACAAGTACGTGAACTACAGATCACAATGTAAACTTGTGAGTTTCGATTTTCAATTTGATTTAAGGTTTTTTTCGTTTGGACCATTTCATTCTAATTTTAACAAATTGTTAATCGGACGGAAAAAATGTATTCTGAAACATATTAACATTATTTTCATTTTAAATTGATTGTCAAAATTTGGGATTTTGATATATTAGCATTATGGATAATAGTCTAACGAAGATAATTAGGTGTCATTCACACACATATTTTTTCTTAAGACCATTTAAATCACACACATATGTAGCTCATGATGTATTTCAATATATACAGTTTAAGATCATGACAATTGAAAATGAGTAATGTTATTCGTAATGAAAACTAACGATAATCATCCTATGTGACATACATATGACAATTTATTATTTGATATATCAATATAGTAATTTTTTGTTTGCATCATGCATTAAATAACAAATTGACATATGATGAAACGTAGGATGATTATTAGTAGTTTTCACTACGAATGGTATTATTCTTCAATAAAAGATTAGGTTGTTCCCTAAAAAATGCTATTCTACTAAATTTTTATTTTTATTTTTTGGATATTTTGTATTATTATTAGATGGAAGAAGTATTAAAATATGCCTACAGAACATAGTAAATCTGCTAAATTTTAAATGCTTTGTCACGTGGGCCCTAAATAATATTTTAATAGTCTATTAAGTCATTTATTTTACAAGTGATCTCTACTATTTATGTTTCAAATAAGTTACTTTGAGAATAATAAATCTTTTACCCTAATATATTGAGGATGCATTAAGCTTAAGATGAGCTTTGTGTTATATTTAGCGCCTAAAATTCAACAAAGACAACCAATGCAATATGTAAAGAGTTTCCAAAGCCAAGTGCACGAAATTTATAAAAAGAAATTTCGTACTCGAATATCTTTACTTCTTACTTCAAATGCTTAGTGTCGTAAAGTTCAAATATTGTGTCGATATCGCTCAAAGTTAAGAATACATACGGAAACTAAGGTCAAATTAAAAATTCCACCAAAGCTTGTGAATTTCATTCTTTCAAGAGCACGCAGTCATTAAGGACATCAATAGACACTGCCACCACTTTGTTCAATATTACAATTCATGGCATACAAAAATGCAATTTATTAAATATCTCCCAAAATTAAGTAAAAAATCCTCCAAAAACACTAACTTGGTTTCACCTCGTAAGCATTCGCTCGCACTATCTACCAACTTCGAGGAAATTCTGCATCATCGACTCTCTCAATGGACATCAAGCCATAACATCAACTCTACGTAAGGTATTACCACCACATTATCCCAAAGTTTACATCATGGCACAATTACAATTAAACATATATCATCAAAAATCAAGTTTGAAATTTCATCTCAAGCCCACTTTCTTGACCTACCATGTTTCAAGCAGATATCTTTAGTTAATAATTTTTTAATATACCAAAAAATACAAAAATGAAAAACAAAGAAGAAAATCTACCATCAATAAGTATTTCTTTTAAGGCTAGGATGTATGTCAAATCCAATGCCCAACCCAACCCTAAGTCAAATTGTATTCATTAAATCTGACTTTTTCTATAATGTTAGTGTCATCAAAGTCTACTCAGTTGACTTATTGAGGCAATAGCGTTGGATTCTTCCAGTGTAGAGTGAGGGAAACGTTGTAGGGGTTGAGTTGTCCGAACTCTTCTAAGTCAATTAAGCCCCCGTTTGATCCCTATTAAATTCAATTACATTACATTTCATTTTTCTCTCTCCTATTTTCAACCACACAATTTTTCATAAAATAATGTTACACGTAAATCGAAAATTTTTCATTCCTTTTCAACCACTCATTTTTCTAAAAAATAATATTCCCCTCATTTTCATTTTCAGGTAATGAGGGTTAAACGGAGACTAAGTTTTTATCCTATTTGCCCTTCCTTGTCATTTCATCCCTTCGGTACGAAAGTAGGCTATGATTCCCTAAGAGAGAAATGGTTTCATATACCCATATTCTCAGAGTTCATGCTCTGATCCAGCAAATTGGGTCTTCATAAATTTCACATAAGATAAAAGCTCTTTTCGTCATTAGAAAGAACCTAATTTCCGTTTTACAAAATCAACAATTTTTATCGATTTTCAACCATACATTTTGTCAAGTTTTAACAAAACTAACTAAAAAAATTATTTTTTAACTAAAGCAAACAGGTGCTTAGTGTCTTTCTACCATTGTGTCCTTTTTCTTTTGCTTTCTGTGTGCCGTTTGTTAGAAGGATATAATTAATCATGACACTGATGTCACATATTTATACTTAAAATATATTTTTTATACATATTTAAATAAATAAACTTACCTAAATTTAGCAAGGATGAATCAAAAGTAGATTATAGAAGATAATCATATAATGAAAGTATGAAATAGTTTGAGTTGAATGAAACTTTCTTTTTCTTTTTGGGGGTATATTTCGCCACCCATTTTTTTTTTTTTCGTCGTCGTATTAAAAGTTTTCGAACTTTGCTTATTGCACATATTCTTGTTATCAACATTTCAATTATTATTACATTTTGTTATGATAATTGTTTCAATTCAAAAAGTCCTTTAAGAGGGTATAAAAGACTATTTGTACCTCATATTTTTAAATATAAAAAAAAATGAAAAAAGAACAACAAATACAAAAATGCAATATAATACTCTTTATTTCATAGCGCCCATCGGATTAAAACATATGGTGCAATTAATTGTAAAGTATCGCAGCAAAAGAAAAATATTTCGTGTTAATATAATTACTATTCCATTTTTTATTGCTCAATATTCTTTGAATTTGATTTTACGACAACAACACAACAAAATAATTCCTTACATTATACGCAAGGGCATGTTTGATTTGACCGATTTTTCATGGAAAACATTTTTCGTTTTCTACCTTTTATTCTGTTTGATTGTAATAATTTTCTTGACAATTCCCCCACCCCCGCGCCGGTGACCATTTTTCCTTGGTTTTGTGGAATGTGGGAATTGGTTTCTCTGCGATTTCTTCTTCTTCTTCTTCTAACTGGAACAAATTCTATCATTTTAATTAACAATTTTCATAAAAAAATAAAGCCTAAAAAACACCAAAAGATAGAAATTTTCAACATTTTTCAGGTGAAAGATTATACAAATAAAACACATTTATTTAACAATTCCTAGGAAAACAAGTTCTAAGCAATTCAATTCCCTAAAATTCATTTTTTTCCACTCAAATTCCACTCTTGGAATCAAACGGACCCTAAGTTTTTTCTCACCAATCCGTTAGATTTCATTTTCGGATTTTCTTGAAGTTTCAAGGTAGATAAATTCTTAACTATTACGACAAATCATATTAGTCTTGGCTAGATGTCTCTCTTCTAATATATTTTATTAAGTTCGTTTTACTCTTATGAATTATAACTTTTTTAGATTTTGTAAAAAATAATAATAATAATAAAATGTCACAACTACCAAATCGCTGTTGTCTTAAATTTATTACCAACTAATTTATACCTATTAAATTACGGTTTGGTGCCAACCAAATTTATCGTCACATTTACTAGCTGGTCCATCAAGTGGTTGTTGACTTTTAATTCTTTCACGGTCTATGTACTCTCCTCTTGGTCCTCTAGTGCTCATTCAATGTTTATTTTAATGCTTTTGTACTATACTTTGGTGGAAATTAAAATCAACATTTTAAATTAATTAAAAATCAAGAATTAATTTTAATAACATATTTTATGAAAGTTATAACTTTTCAATCATGCATTTCGTCTACTTTTATAAAAATGTACTAAAAATATGATATTTATCTAAACCAAATTAAGACTGTGTATGTAGTTGGGGACATTTGGTTGAACCATGGTCGATGTTGATTTAATCATAGAAGTTCGATTGTAGTGTCTTGTCTTTTTATATGGAATGAAAAAGTTATTAATAAATCAATAATTTATTATCATGAACCCATTTCTTACGTTCTGAGTTTGGGAGGAGCTAGACTCCGAATGTGAGCTTGTACAAGAATAAGTTGTCAACTCATGGTGAGTGACAAACCCCACGAAATATGTTGTCTTTAGGGATGGGACGCGGATAGGACTTAAAATAAATAATAATAATAACAATTAAGTCGGGCTAATATGAAAAAAAGAAAAGAAAGAGGAAATTATACAAAAGCAAGGATTTAAAGAATACAATTCAAAGTTCAAGTGCAAACTTTCATTATTCATAAATCAAGTATCAATAGATATAAACCTTAAATCAATTTTCCTTTCACCCAAACCCTAACTCTCCATTATTTTCTCTCTCTAAAATCGGTCCTTC